ATATAAGATGGTCACAACGTGACGGGAACAATGTGTAGGTAGTGAGTAATTGATCTGCAGTCCGAGAGTATTGCTGAAGATAACGTTCGTTTTTATAGCGTTTGTTTTAGCGCGATTGTTGAAATTAAGTGTATCGTAAAGTTATATTCAGAAAAAATAAACCAGTTTTATTTAAGAAAGGACTTATGTCGCTAAAGTTTAGTTGGAAAGAATTTACGGAAAAATGAATTAACAAACGGAGACGTAACAATACCTTTTATTTTTATAATTGGAATAATTTGTTACTGTTTGTTTGTTTTGTCAACGCGCGAATTTGCTATTTGTAAACAGTAGAAATTGGATGTAGAAAAATTGGTAGAGGACTGGACTGTGGATCTATGATTCCGTGATTAGCATCCCATTACTGCCAAACAAAATTTGTTCTCCTTTCGTTGGAGCCCTGGGTGCATTATAAGAGTGATGGCCAAATCGCGAGAGTAGCCCAAGAGTTGGTGTTAACTAGCTACTTTCCCGCTAGTCTATCACAGTCATTACAAAATCAAGGTCGGCTAGCGCAGATAACCCTCGTGTAGCTTTGCGAGAAATTCAACAAACAAATCTAATAATGAAATAGTAGCATCATCCTTTGGTAAGTTTTGAAAAACAAGCATACTATTTGTATTACATAACACTGTCATTGGTAATTAGCAAATACAAGGTATTAAGGTGTCACCTCTGGCATTGGAACGAAATTTACTTTACTAGTACTACGAGCATCGTGTCGTTTGTTTGAAGTTAAGCACAAAGCTACACACAATGGGCTATCTGTGCTCTGCCCACTACGGGTATCGAAACCCGGTTTCTAGCGTTGTAAGTCCGCAGACATACCGCTGTGCCACTGGGGGCTACTACGAGCAGGACGCGAAATTATAGACTATTTCCTTTCGAAATTAAATGCTATTTTTCTGTGATGTTGAACTCAGGGAATGACTGAAATAAATGCAGTTTCATATCAAAACAACAGGGAACCACAAGTCTTAAAAAGTCGGTTCTAATACTGTTTACAATCACCAAATATGAAGTAATAATGTCTCTGTTTTGTGGAAATACTAATGTATTTTTGAGTATACAACTCCCAGTCTAAAATTTCATGCTCGAAGCATATGTGTCAAATCTATTAAGAAGAAACCCAATGGAACCAATAAAATAAAAGTGTTGCTAGGATACAGAACTGATACTTCTAGCAACATCAAAAGTTTAATCTTGCATCGGTTGGAGAATACGTTTACCATATAATAAACTTACTGAATATTTTGAAAATCCATATTTTGAATCTAAATATAATTATCAGTGAAGCTGTATTTCTGGAAATCTAATAATTGCATAGTGAAATATCACTGGAATTAGTTTTCATTAGTAATAATAGAATTATCAAAAATTATGTCAATATTTTTATAGGAAAAGTTATTCTAATATTTTCGATTCAGCATTTCTATTCTTCATTGAGGTAGCTAAAAGTTGTTGATAATTGACAGAAATAATTACTACAGGAAGATTATTAGTATTGTGTCTATAGAATAAATAATTGATCTTAACTGTAAATAATTCCTACAGGAAGATTATTAGTATTGTGTCTATAGAAAAAATAATTGATCTTAACTGTAAATAATTCCTACAGGAAGATTATTAGTATTGTGTCTATAGAAAAAAATAATTGATCTTAACTGTAAATAATTCCTACAGGAAGATTATTAGTATTGTGTCTATAGAATAAATAATTGATCTTAACTGTAAATAATTCCTTCAGGAAGATTATTAGTATTGTGTCTATAGAATAAATAATTGATCTTAACTGTAAATAATTCCTTCAGGAAGATTATTAGTATTGTGTCTATAGAATAAATAATTGATCTTAACTCAATTATACATGTCATATTTGTTTGAATGCCAACTTGTAATTTGATTCATTGGAATTTTTTTCCAGTTTATGAAATTTCTAAAGATGTTGGTTTTTAAAACATGTGTTTAGATTATAAACTTGCTGAGTGTATTTTTTTGTGTTTTTGTGTAGTGAACCTAAAGGAATAAATTAGAAACGTACTTTTTTGCATCCATCTCCACAGCTGATCAGAAACCTCTACATGTACGACTGATACCTCCAGCCACGTGAGTTATGTCATCCATACCCTTCTTGGTAGTCTTTGGTTTCCTGTTCACCATACCGTTGATGTTTTTGTTGACAAAAACCAACTACTCCCCTCTTCTGGTAAAAGCTAAACCTCTGTCATTCGTTAGGCCATATTACCATCATTCGTCAAGTAAGAAATTGATTTGCGATATTTTCATTATCTCACTCACTTTCATAGTTTTCCGTTACAAGCTTTATTTCGTTTTGTAATGCATCACCTGCTTTTGAATTCACTTGCAAAATGAATATTAGTTTAATACAGAGAAATATTACTCTTAAAAAGTGCAGAGACAAAAAAACGTATTAACCTATATGAGCATTACCCTCTATTAAAACACCTGCAAGAATACCGGGTGTTACTTCAAACGCACAAAAAAGTATAAACGTTTGAATTGAATTAATCTACTTAGAAAATCGTATGTGTGGCGATATCAGATATTTAAAACACAACATACAATCGCTGATTGATATAAAATACTGTGATAAACTTTAGTATTATTTAAAAAAATCAATAAAATAAGCTGATACTGAGAAAATTAATGTTCTTTCTTGGAATGTTTGCTGTTAGTATTATCATACCTAACTGTAAATGGAAAAGTTCATTTCGGTAGAACGTGGCGTAAAGTTAGTTGAACTATCTCGTATTGAACTTCATACTCTTTATATCATCTCTTGTTATCATTTTTGGTGCTTAGAACCTGACATTCTTGAATTTAAAGTTCCATATTTTGCAATTAAACCTTCTAAGTTACATACGTTAAGCTATTAGGAAAGAGAAAAAGAGCATGTAAAATGTGAAAAGATTTATGTGTATAATTAATTTTTGAGATTAGAGTATTATCTAACGTACAGTGTTGGAACAAACAGTAATACGTGACATTTTGTCATGTCAATAGCCTGCTGTTTCTTTTTTATCAGGTTGCTCATTGTAAAACCGCTGTTTAAGATTAGCTAGTATAATAGTATTTTCTTGTGCTTAAAGACTTGTATATAGAATATAGTCAAAAACCCACGTCAAATGTTATGTTCCGAATCATATTTTTAACATGTTGTAATATGCATATTAGTTTATATAGTGTGTCAAAATGTATAGTATGACTATCATAGTAATGCAATGCTTCAAGTGGGGCAACAGAAGAAACGGGATGGTTTGTGAAACGTTTGAAGCTGAGTACTATATTTCTTGTTTTTCATGTTTATTCTTTATTTATTATTATGTTTGTTTGTTTGTTTTGAATTTCGCGAAAAGCTACACGAGGGCTATCTGCGCTAGCCGTCCCTAATTTAGCAG